TTTGGATCCAAATATGGACCTTCGAACTGTCAAGCATTTCATATGGAAAAGTGGGGGTGACTTGACACTTCACTACCGACAGAAGTCAACGTGAGCCAAGTGGTGAACCCAACTGGTTATTTAAATAATTAACCAGCTTCCTGTGCTGGTTCCACCATAGTACTCTAGGAGCCCACTTAAATGCTAAGTTCTGACATTTTAAATGCCTCAGTACAGACAGAATCTGAATTGAAGTGACTAATAAATCTGTAACATAGATGAAATCAGTATGATGTAAACTCGAGGTTGTCCATAACAAGGTCAAGCAAGAGTGATATAAGAACCCCTTGACTGGTTCCTGTTAAGGTGTGTACAGAGACAAGGTGACCCAATGCAGATATCTGTGCAGTTCTCCATTTATTTCCAAGATTATCATCCTTCAGTCACTCAAGCTTGATATGAAAACTCTTTCAGTCCTGCTGCTCATTCGCAGGTATTGTTCGTTTTTTAAAAACCCTGCATGTATTGTACTTTGCTAATACAGTCCATACAGTAAATTTTGACCACTTTGCCAGATAAATCTACTTACTGTGCAACAATTACGTTTCTTGAAGTAGAACAGTCTCTGACTGGAAAGGCTAATGTCCTTGCTGATGATTATCTTTCAACTTCGATTTTTCTAACATTTTGATAGTAAGAATCAGTAGGCTGTGTCAGGGTCAGTTCAATGTGTGAGCATCATGATGAATTCGTTCAGCATCTTTAACTAGACTTCAAAACACAAAACCTCTGTTGTCCTAGAAGGTGACATCCTGGTTCAGTTCCATAGGATCATATTCTGTATTTGATAGCAAACTTGATCAGTGTGATAGCAAAAAAGGTTTTCCTTAAATTGTTTTATATGCATTTTGGGTTATTTTTATTGATGTTGCAAGCTGTGCACACCTTGGCTTTTTTTTTTTTTGCACTGTTTCTAAATATTTGACAGATGTTTCTTATTTGCATTGTAGTCTTGTAGACTCTAATTTATTACAAAAGGTGGGAGGAAATACCCCAGTGGCTAAGCAAGAAAAACTGAATTTAAGTGAAACAGAAGCATTATGATAATGTAAGAGTGCTGATTTGAAACAGAAGCACAAATACCTTTTTAAAACACACACTAATAAACCTGGATTCTTCCTTCCTTCCTGTTCCTCCTGAAATTAACACTTTTCTTCCTGATGAGTGCTGGATATAGATTACACCTGATAAGGCATTGGTGGTTTGTTTTTACTGTAGGGACATAAGAAAAAACATTGTTCCAACATTGCTTTTGCAACATGAGAGCTGCTTGTACAATCACCCTCATAAATAGAGAAGAGGAGGAAGTAGATATTTGATCTAGCAGTCCTGTTGGGGCTGGACACGAGATATACCAACCAGTAAAGAAGATACAGGGTGTTGTTTTATTGACTAATGATATGCCTTTTGAGTTATTCAGCTGTCTTTTTCTGAGTATTTTTCTTTCAGGGGAGAACAGCTTTTCTACTGACTGTTGGGCAAATAACAGCTGCTTTCAAGTGTTTTCTTCTTGTTTGCATTGTGTGGTGCATAACCACACACTACTTATAGACATTGCAAGATTGTCAGAGTGACTGTGGTGCTGCAAATAAACATGTTTGGGTTGGCCACTTGTACAATGCAAGTCATTGTTTAATGGTCTGATTTGGAATTATGCTTGCACAGGTCTTTCATGATTGGGCATGTTGCTTTGTATAAATGTCATCTTTATGTGCAGGAGTTTAGTTCGCCACATATGTGCAATGTTGCAGTTTAGTGGAATAGGTGAATTCATTGGTTAAATGTAACTTATCCTGAATTAGTAATCTTTAAAAAAAAAGTCTGTAATTCAATTTTTATACTCTCCATATTCCCACCAAAAGTAAATATTAACTCTGTTGTTTTATTTTTAAAATTGGCCAATATTTCAGTTTTATTTTCTACAAATTTCAGAAAGATGATCAGATGGCCTGCCAATGCCAAAAGGACAGTTATGTATTTCACAATTGTATAGAAATAAGATTTACTGTATGACTGTTTTGCACTTGCTGTTAACGTACAAATGTTTATAGGAGATGTTTATTATCTGGTGAGTTTTTAAGAACATCCTGTATTTTCATGAAAGTATCTCCCCAGGGCATGTTACAAAATTGAGCTCTGCTGCTTTCTTCAATTAAAATGTAGTTCAAAGTACAATCTGAGCATAGGACAATGGCTTGGCATTTTAGGCTATGTCTGGCAAAACCCTGTGTGAAATGTTGGAGGACTCCTGAGAGCAGCATGTTTGTAAAACAACCTTTTGAGAGAAAAGAAACCAAACGCTAGCCGTGCTTATCTTTGAAGAGTGTTTTGAAACTGTGATTAATAGGTTTGGCCAGATGTAATCAGAGTAATTGCAAAGGAGTTACATCTCGGACTCTACAGGCCTCAGTTATGTTAAATTTTGAAGTCCATGACAGTACAATTAGAAAAAGACTGAACAAGTATGGTTTATTTGGAAGGGTTAGCAGGAAAGCCTCTTCTCTCTAAAAAGAACGTGCCAGTGTGGCTTTGGTTTGCAAAGTTGCATCTGAACAAATCACAAGACTTTTGAAACACTGTCCTTTACACAAATGAGACCAAAGTGAAGATATTTGGCCATAATACACAGTGCTACGTTTGGCGAAAACCAAATACAGCATATCAGCACAAACCTCTCATACCAACTGTCAAGCACAGTAGTGGAGGGGTGATGATTTGGGCTTGTTTTGCAGCCACAGGACCTGGGCACCTTGCAATCATTAAGTTGACCATGAGCTCCTCTATATACCAAACAAAGTATTTTGGTATCAAATGTGAGGCCATCTGCCCGACAGCTAAAGCTTGGCCGACATTGGGTCATGCAACAGGACAATGATCTCAAGCACACAAGCAAATCTACAACAGAATGGCTGAAAAAGGAAAGAATCAAGGTGTTGCAGCGGCCCAGTCAAAGCCAAGACCTCAACCTTATTCAAATGCTGTGGCGGGACCTCAAGAGAGCTGTGCACAAACAAATGCCCATAAACCTCAATGAACTGAAGTAATGTGAAGAAAAGTGGGCCAAAATTCTTCCACAACGATGTGAGA